GGAGGGGATAAGGGATGGAATTGCCACATCCCAGCTGGAACTCCTGGCCTGGAAGGAAGGGCCTAGAATTCTAGGTTTAGATTGGCGAGCCAGGATCTCACCTCCTGCGCCTCCTGATGCCTCTTGCCTGAGCTCTCACACTGGTCCATGCGTTCCTGGTGCAAGAACCGACAGCCTTCGGGCACTAACAGGGCTTCGCTCACGAATTCACCAGCTGCGGAATGGGAGACACCAGAATCCTAACAGCCCAGCCCTGGCCTCCTCAGAGCTCAGAGGTCTCTACCTGACACCCAGACTTTCCATGTAGGTCTGAGTCAAGCTCAGAATCTCATCTCTGAGAGACTCCCACTTCACCTCACTTCCCATCCCCCAACAGGTGACTCACGCAGGCAGTGGAAGGGCACAACCTCGTGGTGGGGGTGAGCACATCTGCCGCTGCGGGTACCACCACACCAGCGCTCCATTGGGATGGCCTGTGCAGCCTGCTCCACGCGGGCTATGTGTAGTTCTGGGTACATCTGTGCGGACCAGGAAGTGGAGATCAACCCACTGTCTACCCCAGCTCTCTCGTTTTTTGCAGTCCTAGGGTTTGAACTCAGAGACTCCTGAATACCAAACAAGTGCTCTATCCCTGAGCTACATGCCCAGCCCTCATTTTACTCTCTATTTTGAAACCAAGCTTCCTAAACTGGCCTTGAACATCCTGCAGCCTAAGAAGGCCTTCAATTTGCATTCCTTCAACCTTAGCCTCTCCAGCAGCTGGGACTGCTATGCTCACTGGTCCTTCCCTTTTCTAGTTTCTAGTACGCATAAGGACTTTCCTTCCTTGTCTACAGCATGGTCATGCCCCTATTGCTGTCCCTTAAGTTCGCCATTCTCTGATGGTTTTGGTGAAGGTCCCCAGGCCAGGTCATGAAGCTCAACTTCTCAGGGCCACCCTGCCCCCATCAGGTTTCTTTCTTAAAATATCTCGCCCTCTCTCCTGCCCTGCCTTTCTGTTTAGCTTCTAAGTAACTCTTCTCATGGAGTTAGCCCCGCCTTTTCGTTTCACGCCTCCTTGGAACCCACTCTCATTGGGCTCATCGCTTCCCGCATCTTGTTGGTTTAAAGATCTTTTTATCTAAGCCCAGCCTCTCGTTTGGCCACGCCCACTCACACTCCCACTTTTTCTAAATAGCTCCACAGATTTCTAAGCCCTGCCACTCTTCAGGCGATCTTGATTAGCCGACATTTTTGCAGCTTTCTCCCCTCCTAGTATCTCAAAATAGGTCCTGCCCTAGACCCGGCTCGCCTCCTCGCTGACCACAGACCCCGAACTTTCCGAGGCTTTCCAGATCCTCCCACCTCCCTGGTCTTGGCCTTTCTCAAGTCTGGCTTCCTCAAGGGCGACCCCGCCCCAGCTTGGACCCTCTGACCACTGACCACGCCTCTGCCCATGGGTCCCGCCCACCTGTCTGCAGTACTCCAGCACACGCTGCGGGTCCAGGAGACAGCGTCGTGATCGCTGTGGGTCTGGTTCCCAGCGGCCGGTGCGCAGGTCCCGGTGAAGGGTTAGACGCCCACATAGTCCAGCCACTTGGGCTGACCCCGGAGCCTGGGAGTGGAGGCAGATGGAGCAGTGAGGGCCCGGAGAACGTTGGCATCTGGGTTATCTGGTGCCTTGCTCCCTAAAACCCAGATGGACACCTGCCCCTAGCACCACATCCTTCTAATCTCTCCTGGGTGGAGGGACCGTTCCCCGGGAAACAGATCCCGTGGGGCGAGAGCGCCCCAGCTCTCCCGTTGCTATGGTGAACCCGGTCCCCCTCCCTTGGGTTTCTCGCGGCCTTGTTGCTGAGAAGACAGGCTCCGCCCCCGCCCCAGCGTCTTGGCTCTGGAGCCCGAAGGGGTTAAACTTGAATCGTGGGTTGGGGGGCAATCTAGACGTTCTGGCCCCACCTCCCCCCATCTCCAGTTCGGGCTCCCATTGAGGGGGTGCAAAGACGAAAGGGCCTGGCTTCCCCGAAGGCCTGCACATCAGGCCCGTAAGAACTAGGGAGCTATATCCGGATTGAGTGGTGGGTGGAGGACTGGACTCCTGGATGTTTAGGGGGCAGGGGGCTTGTGTGGGTCCAGGGGATACAAGGGACCTAGATTCTAAGATCCAAGCGCCTGCTGCCTGGTGGGTCCTACGTTCAGGTGGGCAGGGCTTGGGGCTTTGTCGGCTAGGGGTGAGCTGGATTTCTAGGACCAGGGGCTCTAGGAAAGACAGGTCAGGTCCAACGATGCGGGTGGGAGGGGGCAGGGAAGTCAGATGATGGAAAACCTAGAGTTCGGAGCTCACGGAGCAGGCCACCTGGCTAAAAGGACAGCGCTTTCTGCGGTGGTCGCGCCACGTCCAGGTCCAGAGTCCCGGTCCCGCCCCTTCCCCCCATCCCCAGAACCCGGCCGGGCCTCACCTCGGCCGCGCTGGGGCTCCCACCGGCCAGGCTCCCGACGGCGAGCTGCGCGCGCAGAAGCAGCAGCGACAGTGGCAGCAGCAGCGGCAGCGGCAGCGGCGGCGGGCCCCGGCGGCGACCCTGGCCGCGAGCGGTGGGGCTGGCGGGCCCCATGTCCGGGCCTCGCGCCCTCAAGTCCCCTGCGCTCCCGCCCGGCCCAGCCCGGCCCCAGCGGTGACAGGAGCTACCAGAGCCACCGCCGCCGCCGCCTCCTCCTCCTCCCGCCGCCCCCGGGCTGCGCCGGCGCCGCCAGCCCCGCCCCGCGCCGGCCCCGCCTTCCCGGCCAGGACAATAGCGTGGCGGCTCTGCGCACTGAGCGGCTTGGGAACCCCGGGAGGGAGCCTGCGCCAAGCCCTAGCCCCTCGAGATTCCTGGTGTCACGCCCGACGTTAAGGCCCAGTCGCCAGGCTCAGTCCTTGGGCTCAGCAGTTTTGGAGTTTGAGTCCTGTCTTAGGACTTCACCCTTAGCCTTCTCTTCTGGCAAATGCAGACACCCACCATCACCTTTGTCCTCTTCCAAGGATGCAATAGGATCCATCGGATGTGTGTGTGGCAGGGGCGTAGGGGGGACACCCCTCCATAAACTCCTCTGTTGAGGTCCTAGGAATACAGGCCTCCAAAATTTCCCCAGTCTAGAACATAGAAGCGGAGTGTGAAAGCAAGCCTGTAATCATAGCACTTGAGAGGTGGGGGCAGGAAAAGAGGAGTTTGGGCCTAGGCTGCACTGCCTGAGACCCAGTCTCAAAAGACAAAGCAGTAACTTAGGCCTGGTGCCTTCTAACCAAGTCTCTCTTGCCTTTCATCCTCAGACCTAGGAATTCAGTCTTCCTGCCTTGACTGTCAGGTCTCTGGACCTTGAAATTCTCCATCTTAAAAAAAAAAAAAAAAAAAAAAAGTTCTTTAAAGATGACTCAGGTCAGGTGCAACCCAGAACCTGAGGACCGTGGAGCCTCATTTCCATTCACTCTAAGGGCCAGCAAGGGTCTTCTCCCTGAAGGGCTCACTATTTTGTCTCTCCAGTGAGTGTAGAAAATTCTCCTTTTCCTGGCCGACTGAGGCAGCCCAGCTCTGTGTGGACTTCCAGGTGTGCATCTTGTGGGAACCTGCCCACATTTGTCCGTCTTTTGTTTTCAACTATGTGTGCACCTGTGTGGCTGTGGGTGAGGCCGGGGTATGTTATTAAAGGAGTCTACAGTGGGATGGTGGTGTAGACCTATAATCCCAGGAGGGGCTAAGGATGGAAGATCAAGAGCTAAACTCTGTTGAGAGAAGCTTTGATGGTTAAAAATACTGGCTGCTCTTCCAGAAGACCCGGGTTCCATTCCCAGCACCCACACTGTCTGTAACTCGTTTCAGGGGACCCATTGCCTCTTCTGTCCGGGGGGGGGGGCAGGCACATATGTGGTGCACAGAAATACATGCAGGCAAATCACCCACACACGTAAGACAAAAATAATAAATCTATAAAAAAAAAGAAATGAAACGGCCTACAGGAGCAAGCAGGTAGCAAGAGGCAGAGAAAGGACTGAGGAGTTAACTCCTATGACAGCCTAGGCTAGGGTAGGAGGATGGGACAATTGTCAAGGACCTCTTCATTCGTGTAAAACTCAAGAATACTCTACAAACACGTTTGCCTGTTTGCCTTTTTTTCTAATTAAACACAAATATTTCTAGCCCAAGAATCCCCTTCATCTATCTATCTATCTATTTATTCTTTATCTATTTTTAAAGATTTATTTGTTATGTACACAGTGTTCTGCCTACATTCATGCCTGCAGGCCAGAAAAAGGCACCAGATCTTATTACTGATAGTTGTGAGCCACCATGTGGTTGCTGGGAATAGAACTCAAAACCTCTGGAAGAACAGCCAGTGCTCTTAGTCTTTTCACCCACTTACCCACCCACCCACACACTGATGCCTCCTCCTTCACACACACACACACACACACACACACACACAACCTTTTGTTGCTTTTATTCTCACCCCATCCCCAGTCCTTGGATTCAGTTCTTCCATGGTTTTAAGGAAGGAATCAAGATAGTGGTCATTTTGAGTTCTCATAGAATGAACGGCCTTATTGGCTATACTTTTATTGGCCAAAGCTCCCTTTCCTGGGAAAGCCAGGAATTGGTGGGGGGATTATTTCATTCATCTTGATTTTTGCTACCATATTTTTTGGTGCAGATGGTCATTTTCAAATATCTACTAGTTAGAAAAGCTTCCCATCCATGGCCCTGACTCCCATCACCTCCTGTCTTTATCCTTCTGCAAAGAATTTGACTGTCTTTCATTCAAACTTGAATGTCTTTCTCACAGGAGAAAAAATGGGTATAGTGGTCGTATTGCTCCCTCTTGGAGCATCCCCTTTGGCTGAGCCAACCACACATCAACAATCCTGGCGGTTGTTTCCCTCCTCTGGTGCTCAGTTTTGGAGGAGTAGGTCATCAACTTGTTTTGATTCCTCAGGACGCTGGACAGCACACGACGGCAAGAGTCTTGAGACTCTTCAATCAGAGACGTCTTCACACGTGAGTCTGGAGACGCTGGTGGCTGGGTGGAGACAAGGTAGCGTAGGGGAACGGGGGAGTCCCAGAGCTCAAATCTGTGGATCCAAAGGATGTGGGTTTCATATAGCTTGTGAAAGCACGAGGATGGGGTGTGGTGAGATAACCGGCCCGCGCTCTGTACAGTCTGCAGGGAGGTACTAAGTCCAGGTGTGGCTTGAAGTCATAGTAAGTAGGAGTTCCTGGAAATCCAATTGGAGAGGGGGGTGGCAAGAAGAGGCCTCCTCCGGGGGCTTCCCCAAGGCTAAGACTCACACTGACTCCTCGAACCTTGTAGTAACCGTTGGTTGGATCCTGGGGAGCAGTTGAGACTTGGTAAGGAACGTGAGGGTATAGGAAGGCAGGGATCGTGGGTGGAGAGACACACTGACCTACAGCCAGACCTAGAGAGAAGCGTGATGGCATAAAGTAGGAACAGCAGAGGCAGAGAGAGCTAGGCACAAAGATGGCCGAGACAGGGGAAGTGCTAGCTTCCTAGAACAAGCAAGGTCTGACTGAAGTTGGGGAGAGGGAGGGAGGGAGGGAATGTGGGAAGGTGAGCTTCAGGTCAAGAGAAAAGCATGATCAAGTATAGACAAGAGGCTTTAGCTGGATTAGGGATGTAGTTCAGTCGGTAGAGTGCTTGGCTAGCATGCTCAAGGCCCTTGGTTTGATTCCCAGCTCTACATAAACTCAGTGTGGTGGCACATGCTTTAATCACAGCACTTGGGAGGATAATCAGGAGCTCAAGATCATTCTTGGCTACATACTCAGTTTGAAGCTAGCTGAGATACACGAGGGTCTGCCTCAAAGAAAAGTCAGGGAGCGGGGCTTTAGAATGGGAGCAGGGCTTTAGAATGGGAGCCAGGGTTGGAACCGATGCATCTAACCTAAGGTAGGATTTCAAAGCAGGACCATCTTTGGGAAATGTGATGTTTGGGTGGAACCTAGTGGGAGTAAGGCTTCTGGCTGGTAGAGAACAACCAAAAAGACACCGAGAGGCAGGAAACGTGGCTGATGGGGAAAGAAGGCCTGGAGACCAAAGCGAAATAATAAATAAGCTAAGAAGAGGCTGCAGAGAGTGAGTGGTGACCTGGTCCAGAAGAAGCTAAAAGTAGATTTTTTTGTGGTGTTTTTGTTTCTTTTTTCTTTTCTAGACAGGGTTCTGTGTAGCCCTGGCTGTCCTGGAACTCGCTCTGTAGACCAGGCTGCCCTCAACTCAGAGCCTCTGCCTCCTGAGTGCTGGGATTAAAGGCATGCATCACCACCTTGGAAACATAGGTCTTAAGGTAACAGAAACCAAAGAAGGAGACTGAAGCAGGGAAGCATCCAAGTGTGGTGCCAAGATCTGAAGTCCTAGTTTGTAACCCCAGCATCCAGAAGCTGAAGGAGAAAGCCTGCTGGGAGTGCAAAGCCAGCTCAGTGTGGCACCCTGTCTCCAGAAAGTTTTTTTTAAGCGTGCAATTGGGGAGAGGTGGAGACTGAGTGACCAATAGTCGGCTCCTCCCCAGTACTCACCGCTGCCTCCAGAGCCTCCTTCTCATCAAGGATCAAGTCACCGTGGTCAGGGTGCACAATGGGACCCTGAGGGAGGGGAAAAATGAGAGGCAGTGTTCAGAAGATCACTCTATCCTGCTGCCAGATCCCAAGGGCCTTCCTTTGGAGGTCAGGCTGAAGGAGAGGCCTGGAGGCTGGACTTAAGACAGTAAAGAAGGCTATGGGGACATAGTGAGCATTTGCATTTGTGAGGATCCTGTGGGTCCAGGGTTATCATGTTTAAGACTGGGACCAAGCTGGGATAATGGCACACACTTTTAATCTCAGCATTCAGGAGGCAGACTGGAGGAGCTCCGATTTGGAGTTTATGTAAAGCTTCGGCGCCTTGAGGATGCTAGCCAAGCAGTCCACCACCTGCCACAGTCCTAGCCCCAGTTAGGGCCTCTTGTCCGTGCTTGATCATGCTTGTCTCTCAACCTGACCCCACCCTCCCTCTTTGCCTCTTCCTCCTCTCCCCAACTCATCCAGACCTTGCTTGTTCTAAGAAGTCAACCTCGTCTACAGTGCAAGTTCTAGGACAGCCAGGGCTACATAGAGAAACCTTGTCTCAAACAATAACAAAAAGTCTAGGCTCATACTTGAGTTTGAGGGTGGGTTAGACTAGGTGATTATCTTGGTCTGGAAGCACAGATCTAGGGAAACTTGCATCTTACCCGTTCCTCACTGCCACCTGCTTCCTCCTCAGGGCCACGTGAGCTGGAGCCATCACTGCTTCCTGGGATCCGGACCAAGTTCTTTTGCTTGGAGAAAGAGCCTGAGGCCCAGAAAGGTGAGAGGTGAGCGACAAGTGAGGTCATATTTTGTGATGACCAAGACTTGGGAACAGAACTGACTGGGTAAAATGGGCTAGGAAGGCTGGAAACCAAGGAGAACCATGGTCAGGAAGTGATGGAAAGGAGATGGGAAGACCGACCCTGAGGAGACTGAGTCAGGGCTAGGGAGGGAACTTAGCGGCCCGGAATGGAGCCTGGTCCCAAGGCTGATACTTGCCTTGGCGCCAGCAGCAGAGAATCACTCCAGTGATGACCATAAAGAGAGCGGTGGCTGCAGAGACTGCTCCAGCCACAATCCGAACAGTGGGCAGCAGGTCTGTAAGGAGATTGGGGTCTCCTGAGAAGGCTGGTCTGAAGACGGGGTAACCGGGAAATGGGCTCGGGGCTTGGGTTCCTTGGTTCAAAAGGCTGCCAGGTTTGGGATTTCCCAAGATTTACAGTGTGCTATATTTGGTTGTCTGAGGACATTTGGGCATTCATAGGTTTTTGAGGTTTTTTTTTTTTTTAAGATTTATTTATTTATTGTGTATACAGTATTCTGTCTGCATGTATGCTTCTACACCAGAAGAGGGCACCAGATCTCATTATATATGGTTGTGAGCCACCATGCGGTTGCTGGGAATTGAACTCAGGACCTCTGGAAGAGCAGTGCTCTTAACCTCTAAGCCATCTCTCCGGGCCTGGGGATTCACAGTTTGAGAGTTTAAATTCCCTGGGTGAGCCGCATCTGTAACCCCAGCCCGTAAGTTCAGCGTGGGCTATCAGAGACCCTGTCTCCAAAACCAAAACACCAATATAATAAACAAACAGGGCTGGCAAGATGGTCCAGTGGGAAACGGTGCTTACTACCTGGGCCTGAGTTCAATCCTGGGGACCCACAAAATGGAAAGAGAGAACGGAGTCCTACAAAGTTGTCCTCTGGCTTCCACATGTGCACTGTGGCAGGAGTGTGCCCCCATAAACAAACAAACACTCTAACTTTAGGGTTGCTCAGAACTTGAGAGTCTTCTGTTTCAACCTCCCAGATTTGTGGCATCCAGGTATGGAATGGCCTTCCCACTTAGAGCTCTGTATTTGAGAGAATTATTGATTTGGGGTCCTGTGATTCAAGAGATACATACTTTTTTTTTAAAAAAAAACTTACCACTTTTTTTTTAAATTATTTTATATGCACTGGTGGGAGGGTGCCAGGTCTCCTGGAACTGGAGTTACAGACAGCTCTGAGCCTCCCTGTGGGTGCTAGGAATTGAACCCAGGTCCTTTGGAAGAACAACCAGTGCTCTTAACAGCTGAGCCACCTCTCCAACCCCCACTTATTTTTATTACATTTCAAATGCTATTGTATGTATTTATATGTGTGGGGGAGTGCATATCATGGTGTTGGAACAGAGGTCAGAGAACAACTTTTGGGTATTGGTCCTCTCCCACCATGTGGGTTCTGAGCGTTGAACTGGGGTCATCAGGCCTGGTGGCAAGTGCCTTTACCTGGTGAGCCAGCTCACTGCCATAGTGCTGAAATTTGGGGAGTCTTTGCATTTGGGGACCTTATAGTTCGGTGGCTTCAATCTTGGGAATCGCTGTGTTTGTGGGGTTTGGAATCCCCAGGTTTCAGGGTCTTTGGGTCAGTAACTCACCTCTACGACCCAGGTGGACCTGGGTTCGTCCCTCACCCAGCCGGTTCCTGGCACTGCAGTTAAAACCCCTGGTAAAGTCGGATTCCTGGGTCCCGGAAATGTGTAACACAGAAATAAGGCCTGGGCCCTGTCCTCCCTCCTCTTCAGGGGCTGAGAAGGTCTCCACCAGGAATCTGCCTAGTGAACCTGCCTCCAGGAAGCCCTCGTCCCAAGACCAAACCTAGAAAACAAAAGAAAAGGGTATCAACTCGGAGCCTGAGGAAGTAGAGAGGGGCTGTTGGATGTGGGAGATGTCAGTGTCAGACGTGGGGGACAGGGATCACGACTGATGTGTCAGAGGGGTGAGGGTTCCTTTCCTTACCACGGAGTCCGGGGCAGGGGAAGCAAACACCACACATTGGAGTCGAGCAGGGCCCCTCAGGAAGGCAGGCGCAGGAATCAGGGCCTTCACTACCGGGGGAGCTGGAATGGAAACCATAGACCATGAAGCAGAGGTCTCGACCTCTCCAAAACCAGTTCTGAATGAGGTAAGGTCAGACATGGTCACTGTGGTTTCACCCCTGAGAAACCAGGCCATACCAGTCCGTAGAGTGTCTCTCTTTCAACAGGTCCTGCTCTACTCCTCAGCCTATAACTTCCTTTTCAGGGACACGCCCTCTCGGTCCACCCCCTACCCCAAGACCCTCGGGGTCTCTCACCGTTCACCGTCAACCTCGCCAGCGCCGTGCCGCCTCCTAAACCCGAGCGCCGAGGCTCAGCCCTACACACATAGTCACCCGCATCCTCCAACGCCACGGATGGAAGACGCAACGTGGGCCCCGAGCTCAGCACCTGGCACAAGGAAGGGGTATCAGAGACAACACTCAGGGAGGCAGCCCGGACCACTTCCAGCTAACGTCCCAGGCCCCAGATCGAACTTCACCTGAGAACTACCGAGGCGCGTCCAGGTAATCCGTGGAAGTGGGTTCCCTCGCCAGGCGCAGCTGAAGGAGGCGTCTTTCCCCACGTCCACGGACACGGGCTTCGGTTTTGCCGGCAGAATAGGTCCATCTGCAGGAGAGAGAGGAATGGGTTAGAATGAGCCCCTGACACAGGACCAGCTGCTAGGTACAAGTGTGGGTATCCAGGCAACACCCGCCACTTAGAGTCCGCTACCACAAACCCCACCCTTCCCCACCCCCCCACCCCCGCCCCAGCCAAACCTCGCCCTACTACCTGCTCTAGCCCCGCCTTCCAGACAACCACGCCCACCTCGGCCACACCCACGGCCCCGCCCCTGCTCACACAGCACTTCCAGCGCAGTGCTTCGGTTGGCGCTTCCCACCGCGTTGCTGACTTCGCAGGACACTGGCTCAGTCAAGAACGTAGCGTCTGCTACGACCTCCAACCTTGGCCCACGTGCCCCGAGCACCGGGGATCCCCCTTTCGCCCACCTGCGGAGACAGTGGCGATATTAATGTCGCCCTACCCCTCCTCAAGCTCCCGGAACTTTGCTAGAGACAAGGGGCGTTTCTGGTCACCTGTAGCCGGTGACAGGAGGGTGGGCAGTGGCGTGACACAGGAAAGTCGCCTTCTCTCCCTCCTGCACAGTCTGGGGCTCAGCAGACAGAGTCACCACGGGGGGATCTGTGAGGGTAAGGCAGGAGAGCTGGGCTTTCAGTCCCCACCCAATCCTCCTCCTGTTGTGTCAGACCCAGGAGTCCAGGCCCACCCTGGTCTATCCAGGACCAACGGCACTCACACTGCAGGATTAATGTAACCGCTGTGTCCTTCCCTGTGGGCAGGACCTGGCTCCGGGCTCTGCAGATCAAGGTGGCTCCATCCTCGTGACTGGAAGGGGTCAGGAATAAGGTGTTTTCCACTGCCCCAGTGGTCTTGTCCTTCAGCGTGGTCTGGAGGTGATAGATAGATGACATTTTTTTCTTTTTAGGACAGGGTCTCACTCTGAAGCCAAGGCTGGCTTTGAACTCATGACCCTCCTGCTTCAGTCTCCTGAGTGCTGGTGTTATAGGTGTGTACCACACCCCATACTAACAATGATTTTATCTATAGCTTACATAGGTAGTGTTTACAATATATTGGATACTTTTAGACATTCACATGCTTATTTAATTCTCTATATTACCCTATAAAGTAACCCTACTATTTTTCCCCCTGTATAGATAAAGAAAACGAGGGACAGAGAGGTTAAACGCCATATACAGGAGGAAGTAATTAGCAACTGACTGAACCAGGAAGCCTCGCTCTTGATCTGAATCATAGTTCAACCCTGAATGCCTGCCATGCCCTCTAGATGAGCCTGAGATCAAGGTGGACCCCAAGTCTCACTGAATGAAAAAAGAATGGCAAAGAGATTTAAACTCAACCTGGTGGAAGGTGGCTCCATCCAGCCGGATCCCATCTCTGAACCACAGCAGTTCAGGGGCAGGTTGGGCATCCCCTCGACTCCGACAAGTCAGATTCCCAGGAACTCCAGCAACCAGAGACACAGAGGGGCCGCCTAGTATCTGGGGGGCTTCTGGGGGGACTGCATGGCAGAACTGGGGTCAGAATTGCATCCTGGAAGTAGAGCCTCTGATCCTCTCAGCTCCACCCACCAGTCCCCCAGGGTTCTTAGACTCCACTGCTCAGGAGCAGTCCTAACTGCCCCATTCCCCACCTCCAGCTCCCAAAGCCCAAATGGGCTGGGTCCTCACCCATCCTCACCCATCACACGCAGTTGGGCAGGTCGTGATCGGAGGCCCGCTTGTGAAGCCTGACACTCATATGATGCTTCGTCTTCCAGTTCCACAGGTTTAATGTGGAGGTCATGCTGGCCACTGGCTGTATTCCCTGATATCCAGTACCGGGACCACCCTGAAGACAGAAAGACCATAAAAAATTCTGAACTCCTGGTCTCAAGTCTTTATCTCCAACAATCCCACTCCAGGGAGCAGATAAGAGCCACACATTTGATGCTAAAACACTATCAAAACATGCATGCTGAGGCCGGGCAGTGGTGGCGCACACCTTTTACCCTAGCACTAGGGAGGCAGAGGCAGCCGGATCTCTGTGAGTTTGAGGCCAGCCTGGTCTACAAGAGCTAGTTCCAGGACAAGTTCCAAAGCCACAGAGAAGCCCTGTCTTGAAAACCCAAAAACCAGCCAACCAAACAAACATGTGCTGGGGCCAGGTATGGTGGAGCACACCTTTAAATTCCAGCATAGGCAGGCACACCTCTCTGAGTTCGAGGCTATTCTGTTCTATATAGGAAATCAGGCTGGCCAGGACTACGCAGTGAGACATGTCAAAGAAAAGAAAAGGAGAGAGAGAGAGAGAGAGAAGTGCTGGGTTCAGAGAGATTCTAAACCTCCTGTCAATTTATAGTCACCACAAATTTGTGAGTTAAAAAGTCAGAAAGGAAGGGTTGGAGAGATGGCTCAGCGGTTAAGAGCACTGACTATTCTTCCAGAGGTCCTGAGTTTAATTCCCAGCCACCACATGGTGGCTCACAACCACCTGTAAAGAGATTTGGTGCCCTCTTCTGGCCTGCAGGCAGGATACTGTATGTATGTATGTATGTATGTATGTATGTATAAATAAATAAATCTTTTTAAAAAGAAGTCAGAAAGGAATACAGGAAAATAATTCCCATCAAAGTTAGGTTAAGCCAGATGTGGGTGGTGCAAGCTTGTAATTTCAGCACTCAAGACTGAGGCAGGAGGATTTCGAGTTTGAGGCAAGCCTGGGCTGCAGAGGGAGACCCCAACTCGAACAACAAAACAAAACAAATAACCAAAAAAATAGATAAAACACTACCTTTTGCCCACCATAGAGGAACGTTAAAGGGCTGGGGCTCTGAGAAGCTCGCAATAGCCTGCTCATTAACTATATGACTGTAATCACTGGCAAACTGTTTATGCTTTTATATGATGTTTTAGAATAAAAATAAGTCTCCAAACACAAGGAATTACATCCCCCCCCCCAAACAATCGTTTTAAAACTTGCGATTCCCAAATATTCACTGGGAGCCCACCAGTCTCGAAAGTTGAAACTATCAGATGCAGCCCATGCCTAGACCCCTTAACTCACCTGGAAGGTCTCTTTCGCCCCCTAGAGCCAACCCATCCTTAGTCCACTGCACGAGCCCCCGGTATGCTCCCAGAGCGCAGGGCAGCCGGGCTTCCGCCCCCAGCAGCACCACCATGTCCTCTGGTTGTTGCAGAAAATGGGGCAATGGGCCTAGGAGAAGAGGGACAGAAGAGCTGAGATTAAGTCAAGAATTCCCTTATGCAAGGCCCGGGATGTCCAGTCCAAAGCCCTCCATCCTCTGATTAGAAGCTCTAGCCTCCAGAATTCTCTCTCACACCCAGGACTAGGAGTCCTTAGTTTATTTTTCCCAAACAAGGCAGGAACGGACAAATAATCCTCTTTGCGCCCTTCGGGGGTACCTGCAAGTCCTCTGAAGCTGCAGAGAAGGACGAGGAGGGCGGGGCCCAGCATCCCGTGTGTGTTTGTGCGTGCACCCCAAGATCCCGTAGACTTTGGGTTGCACTGATTCCTCTCCAAATTCTTCCTCGACAGCACGCCTCTCACACGCTGGACTGGAACCCCTCTCTGTACCCCACTTCCCTCCGCCCCCACTCCAGTCTGGAGGATTCTACGTCTGGCCTGGAGTCCCCGAAATCTGGCTCATCCGCAGCCTCCGATGCTCTATACCGCTCGCGGGTTGCACACCCTGGGTGTGCGAGAGACTCGCGGGTGGGCGGGATCCTACTCGCCCCGCCCCTTGGATACCCGCCCTCTTCCCATTGAGAAACTCGGGCGGCATGCCTGCCGAGACTGTGGGCGCTCCGGGTTCGCGCAGCAGGAGGGCACCCCTGCGTTATCAGGGGGTCTGAGAGCTGTAACACCTGGGTCCAAGGAGGGGGCTCTGCTCGTGTTGGACACCTGCGCCCTGCTGAGGTTGAAGGGGAGGCGGGCATGAGGAGGAGGAAAGAAGAGAGTGGAAGAAACTTGCTCAGCCCGGACCCAGGAGGGACTGAGCTGAGTGGAAACGGAGCTATAAATGGGAACCCCTGAGACTTCACCAGTTTTCGCGCCCTGGGGAGGCGGGGCCCAGGCTCCCGCGGGCCTGCGGGTCGGGGAGAGGGCACCCAGGTCCTGAAGGACTACTTGGAAGTCATGAGAAAAGAAGGATTCAGCCCCCCACTTTTCCAAATACATCCCTGCTGCCTTGTTATCTCTGCAAGGCCTAACACACCCTAAGTTGTAGGAATCCAGCCCCCGCCCTCCCCTTCCCGCCCCGAGTTCCTTCTTTCCCAGAACTCGGCAGTACCCACCCATCCCCTCTCTCCGCCTAGCTGTCCCAGGCCCCTCCGACTGGTTGCCGGGCGACGGCTAGGAGGCAGCAGTACCCTGGCTCTGGCAGGCAGGGAGGCTGGGAACCGCACAGCTTGTCCTGACAGCTCCCGTGCTGCCCAGCTGGGGCGTTCCCACGCTGCGCAGCTGGCAGGGCAGGTGGGAGGGACCCTGAGCCTACTGTAGGAGCTGGGAGAGGGGGGCTGGGACCCCGGGTCTGACATTCCTGGAGCTATCAGAATTAAGCGACATTCAGGGCTCAGAGGGTTGGATTTCCAGGGAGGGCGTGGTTCAGATTTCTGCAGGCTGAGAAGCTGGTGGCCCTTGTAGCCTGTAGTATGGAGCAGTTGGGCCAGGTTCGGAATATCTGGTCTTAAATCTTAGAGCTACTGGATTTAACAACCAATCTCACTCACCCCCACAGGCCCAGGAGGACTGGAAAACTAACAGCTGTGCTGATCGTATAAGAGGGAGGGTGGGGGGAGGCAGGGGGCTGGAAAAGAAGGTCCTGGGAGGTCCCGCGCTGAGCTCTGGAGCATCTGAACTCCCGGCTTCAGATTCTCTGTTTTGAAATAGGACAGGCTTGAGCCCAGGACTCCTGAGTCTTGGGGAGGAAGTCAGGTGATGAGGTGTTTTTCCAGACACTTGACAAAGCTTCCCTTCCTGGCACCCTGGGGCCACCAGCATGGAAAAATGGAGAGCCTGGAGTCCCCAGGGCATTCGGAGAAGGAAAACAGCCAAGTTTGAGTGTAGGTTTGCACTAATTAAAGGTTCCAGCAACTGACAGCCCTACACCTTGGCCTCCGACGGTACCATCTGGTAAAGGCCCCCACGGCAGAGCCTCCATCCGTTAGGTCTACAAGCAATCCGTTTCACAGGAGGTCTTAAGGGGGTTAGAGAAGGGAGTGTGGAAGGAGGGTAATGAATCAATAATGGGGGTGGGGGAGAGAAAGACGGGGGTCTCAGGCCAGATGCCTGGACTGCCCCCTGGAGGAGGAGCAGCAGCTGGGCGGGAGGTTTGTAGGGCGAGTGGGGGTGGGAACAGTTGCAATTCCTGCAGGAGATAAGCAGGCAGAATGGGCTTATCCTAGGCAAATGCAGCTGTGCACCCGGGTTTGGAAGGCAGGCTAGCCAACATATGGTTCAAAACTTCCAGGGTCAGAATCCGGTCTAGAGCCAAAAAACTGCATGGGAAAGGCCCAGAGATGGGCTGACTGCGGAGCAGACTATACTGAGTTCCTGTTACGGAGTGACAGTGGGGGAGGGCAGTAAGAGGGACAGAAATAAGAAGAGGAGGGGGAGAAAAGAGGAGGAGGGGAGAAAAAAAATCAAAGAGATGGAGAAGCATGAGAAGATAAATCACCCTGCCTGGAGAGAGACACACGGAGAGAGAAAGGAGAAGTTGAGAACAGAAGGACTCTCACACAGTCTCAGGACTCAGATGTTCCAACTCCCAGAGACCCCCACTCTGTGTCTAACTGTATCTGAGCTCACCAGGTTTACACACACAGGGGTCTGTGGACCTGGTCCTACTGGCTGTCCCAGTACCAGACATTCCAAAACTGTTCACAGATGAAATCAACTCTCACTTCTCCTGGAATACCCACGCTCTCACACACACCCACACACACAGTTGGCTTCCCTCTCTCCCACAGTTTCACCGTTTCAAACACACTCCTGTGCGTTCACCAGCAGAAGTGTAAGATGCCACCAAGGAAAAGAAGGAACTTGTCACAGTCTGGGACAGCTGTGGCAGTGGGGGTCTGGACGGGGGGTGTCCTACCCACCCACACAGGCCCAGATCTGTCTGCCAACTCGAGCTGGGAGAGAGCCCTGGTCAGACCCACTCTCCCAGGCAGGGCCTTGGGGTCACTGGGGCTGGGGAGGCACCAAAGAATATTCGTGGCATGTGCTGACAGGGGATTTCATTGCTCTGCTGGGCAGACTCAGGAAGAACTTGAGGGGAAGAAGCAGGATGTGCTCACACTGGGTCCAAGAAATGGCTCCACGCTGTGACTGACTGCATTGGCTTTCTGGGTTCGTGAGCTTGCTGGACCCCCACCCCCACCCCCAGTGGGAATGGGTGAGTGGGTGAGAGGGAGATAGTCTTAGATAAAGAGACACAGAGAGTGATGGGGAGAAGAAGAGAAAGCATGCATTTTTGAGTGCTTGGGGTAGGAATTCAGAGAAAGAACCTTTGGCAGGGCAAGCTAAGGGCAGAAAGGAGACAGAAAGAAAGACTAGGACAGTCAGAGACAGGAGAGGAGAGGAGAGGAGAGAGAGAGAGAGAGAGAGAGAGAGAGAGAGAGAGAGAGAGAGAGAAGGGGGACACACAGAGAGGCTCAGACAAGACATCAAACCATGTGGCTGGCAATGGGCACTAAGGAAGTCGCCCTCAGAGGTCCTGGGGTGACCACAATACACAGGACTTCCAGCTTGACTCCCTTGCTGCTCATGGGAATGCTGACCACAGGTGAGTAGAAAGGCTGGACTTGTAGCCCACGAGCCCTCAAGCGCCACCTCTGTCTCTTATTATCAATCCCCTTGTGTCCCCAGGCCTGGCCCAGTCACCAATCCCCACCTCGGTTTCTCGAGGCTTTTGGACTCTGTCTGAAAACCTGACGGCAGTGGAAGGGGCCACAGTTAGGCTGCGGTGTGGAGTCAGAGCCCCTGGCAGTGTGGTGCAGTGGGCTAAGGATGGGTTACTTCTGGGTCCAAACCCCAGGATCCCAGGCTTCCCGAGGTACAGCCTGGAAGGAGATCCTGCTAAAGGTGAGAGACCAGAGCCTGAGATCTTGAGCCGCTAGCAGAAGCTGGGGCCCTGACCGCGAGCGCTCTATCTTCAGGTGAATTCCACCTGCGTATCGAAACCTGTGACCTCAGTGACGATGCGGAGTATGAATGCCAAGTCAGCCGTTCAGAGATGGGTCCTGAGCTCGTGTCTCCCAAAGTAATTCTCTCCATCCTAGGTATGGGTGAGAGACTCCCCTCCGGGACCCACCAACTTGGGTTCCAGCCCTCTTCTTTCCTCGGACCCAGAGGTCCAAGCTCCCAAGCCCCTCTACTTTGGGCCCTGGGTACAGTCTCATTTCTTGAACTCTTGGCCAAAACCACAAAACCATCACATCCACCTCTCAGTAGTGGCTAACCCCATGCCCTTTCTCTCTAGTTCCCCCTAAGGTGCTCCAGCTGACCCCCGAGGCAGGAAGCACAGTTACCTGGGTGGCTGGGCAGGAGTATGTGGTCACCTGTGTGTCTGGAGATGCCAAACCAGCCCCACACATCACCTTCATCCAGGGTGAGTGTGGGACAGCACAATGTCGCTGAAATGGGAAGTGGGTGTTCCTGCCTAGGGTCCCCCAAAATATGTCACCCCTGAGTACCACCCCAGGAAACGAGGCCAACACGGATGAGAAAGGAATGCTTTCCAGGAGAATGCAAGGCTGATCTGGGGTAGGGAGAAGGTGTGAGCACTCAGGTGAGCTAGGGGTGCCAATGGCTATGCAGGAATAAGAAACCCCTGGTGGGACAGGGTGAGGAGAAAGGCCCCTGTCGCAGTCCTAAGAACCGCAGAGTTCAGGGGATCCTGGGTGTATGGGAGGACAGAACAGGCACTACAGCTTCTTGTCCTCCAGAGCCAATATTAAGGGAGAGCTATATCCATCCTGAGGACTTCCAGGGCATGGAGAAAACCCCAGCATCTCTCTAGCCAGCTTTCTGTTGCCCCAAGGTGGACACACGGTACTGGACGTCTCCTATAATGTGAACGATGGCTCCGTGGAGAAGCTCTTCATCGCAGAAGCTGAAGCCAGGTGTGCAAGCTGGGGTTTTCTCCCTGTCCCCCGATCTCCAGGTTTTCCCACCTGAGTTCCAGAACCTAATGATGCAAGTTTGGAAACTTGAGTTGTGGGAATACCTGGGACCTGACTCTTCACCCTGACTTTCAAAGCTTCTTGATGGTAACCCCAGTTTGTAGGTGTTGAGTAAAAATATTTAGTTTGGGTGAAGACCTTGGGCACCCCTATTCTCATTGTTGCCCTCCAAATCTCTCCCAGGGGAATCCAGCTCTTAGTATAAATCAGTATGGAGACTTGGCCAAGTGTGGGAGTTTGGGACGCTCTCCTCTTTATCCTGGCCTTAAATTTCAGGTGATGACTGACTGCAGAAATCTCTATTTTTCCAAGCCAGGGTGACACCCCAGAGCTCAGATAATGG